TCAACGACGCAAATGTCAACTCAACAGGTTCATCGTCTCGGCGTAAACGAGGTCCATCACTGAGGTCTCGCGTTACGCTAGTCGCCCACACACAAACGCGCATTAGAGGAAATGAAAGAGCTTATTCAGCGTATTTGTTACGCACACGCACACACGCAAGGGGTAACGCATGGGTGTTCATTTTGACCCGTCCACACCCCGCCCTCTCCCCTCGACATAAAACGAGGTCACCCACGTCGTCAGCCCGCATATCCTCCTACCAGCGGCATCCCGACACCCCCGCTGGCTGCCTCGTTCGGGGGGAGTGGAGGGGCGGCGGATGGAATGCCGACGCGAGTTTGATTGACCCCAACACCACACACACATGACGAGTCAACTTTAGCGCCGAATGAGTCACGCCTGCGACTTTGCAATCAGCTAACGAGAACCCGGGGGTGGGGGGGGGCGAAAATGACGTTTTTAGAGGCGTTGGTTTAGTAGAAGGCAGGAGGCGGTTGACCCGAGCATCAGGAAGTTGCACATTACTGGCGATTCAACTAGCCGAATAAAGCAATCGTCTTCTGGTGCAAATCAAACTAAAGTCACTTGCCAATCAAATCTACATTCACTTGTTCCAGATGGAGCGCCCCGACTTTCACGAGACTGCAAAGGTGCCGGTAAATCGGAGATGTTGATGATTCATTGGCGTAATAAGTCATTCATGACGGACCGCCATCTTCACACAACATGGCGGCACCTCCCCCAGCCCTTAGAAGGCGTCGCACAGCACACGCCTGGCTCCCCCCCGCCGATGGATCAGGTCAAGGACAATGTGTTCACATTGACCTCTGAGGTCGTGGGTATAAAGCATAACCATGATATGCGACGATGGTAACCGCCTAATGGACGAATCAGAGATGGAGCGCTAAGCTAAAAGGAATCAGCCCGTGACACAACACCGACAAATGACGACGTGCATATCGGGAGAGCGCATCGAAATTGTGGATAGAAATCGGTCCAAATTGATTCACGAACCCATTTCACACCGCGTCTTAGCTGAATAAAGCCTAGAACATGGCAAAGTGAAGAAAAAGTTGTAAGCTTTTTTCTCGTGATGTGAATGAGCTGATACTCCACACCAGAGGAAAACAACGAGGCATGTATTGAGTTCGGGTGTCGATATACTACTAACGACGCACACGTCGATAGACACACCACGACATGCTTCTAGAGGCACATTTATTAAGGTGCCCAGGGAGATTGAATAGTGACTCGAAATTGCCTTTAGAGGGGCATTTGCTGGACGGAATAATTCCGAAAACCGGGTTAATCGGTTTGGTTTTGTCCAATGTAAACCGCAAACGAACGAGGAAACTCCAATCATGAATTATCTCCAAGCAAGCGTTGGGTTCCCCAGTTACTCCTAAGGAGGACACTCGTGTTTGACAAAGACTTCGTGCATTGCGGCCATGGACTACTTGCCTCGACGATTAGTTTTTCACTACAACCAGTACCGTTTTTTTCTACTCAAAATGACAGGTGGGTGGTCGCATTACGCGCACACCTCCCCCCCCACATTTGCGTCTTCCTCTCAAGTGGCGACACGTAATGTGGCATGACTGGCTGCACAGCCTCCAGCCGTCAAGTCAGCCGAAATTCACACCTCAACCGGTCCAGAAGAGCCTGGTGTCAGAATACAAAGCGACCTTGATCCCGGATTAGTAGCAGAAGTCGCCCAGTGTCTTGATTGGTCATAAATCAGCCAAATCGTCAACTCGAGGTGCGTTTGTACTACGGAGTTAGCGGAATGCAAAATCTCTTCTGAAACAAACAACCGATTCTGGAAAACCACGTACCGACACGTCAAGATATCTGCCGTGTCGAAATGATTCATCTCGTGGGATTAGCACATAACTGCACAGACAATTTGGCGGCGGAGAACATCGTCCCGCAATGACGTGATTAGAGGCCTTTTGCAGCTCCCACGGAAACTTAATACTCACTCGAACCAGGGAAAGTTGGCCTAGAAAACGGGTGCACGCGACGAGGCATCTTGGCGAGTGTGGGAATCAAATTCGATGGCGGTTTGTCTGATTTAAAAGTTATCCTACGGCCTACAAAGTGTGCTTTGTGCGAACGAGCTGAGCGGAGACAGGGAAAGTACAAAAAAGAGGAGAATTTAACAAGCGTGCACTTACAAGGGACGCCTCCGCCAGACAAAGGAGGTACCGAAAATGCGCCTCCATTTCGAACCGTAAGACGGGACCAGCCTGGCAGAAATCCCGATCAAATGCGTCTGCCATTTGAACCAGTTTCTGGACGATTTCGTCGTAGTCGAGGTCGTTGTGCGTGGTAACCATGGA